TACTTAAATTCAATATACTTAGCATTTATTCATGATATCACATCTTTCTAGTGCTTAAAGATCTAATATTTTTTTTTACTTAGCCATTTTTACACGTAGTTTACGAAGGGTTTTTGTTGTGGTATATTATATAAAGGGCCGTTAGTATACTTCAGGCCTCTAAAATTATGATCTTCCCGGGCTGTTTTTTTCTCCCAGTCCGCCACTGCAATTCTGAGAGAAGATCGTCTATCAGCCTATAATGTCTTGAAATCAAATGTATCTTAAGTAGGTATTCTAAATTCAAAAAGATATGCTAAATTATTTAATCAGTTTTGCTTATGAAGCAAGTTACACAAAACTGAATAGAAAGTATGGAGTACACAAATGCAATGACTAAATCCTGTGTAAGTAACAATCAAATCCCAAAAATATACATATGTGTTAGTCTAGAACTCTTTATTATAAGAAAACAAATCACAATTTGATATACCATTATATCATAATACAAATGTATTTAAATAACAAGGTATAAAATCACTAAAAAATATTTATAAATTAGCAATTCTTAAAAAGACAATGGGTGTAATTAATAACAAGTTTAATTGATGATAAATTGTGTTAAATGATTGGAAAAATATGTTATTAAAAATAAAAAAATTCATCAAAAATAAAAAAAACATTGGTTATTCTCCTTCATCTTCAACATTACGTCATTACCAAATTCCAACAATTTTTGTTTATTTCTGTAATTTTATAATAACATATTAGTGAACAAAACTACTATAATTTTTTTAAAGATAAATAGTAGTTAATTTAACTAGAAATAATTAAATAGGGGTTTATAAGATAAGATTCATTTATACTCCTATCAATAATATATTTGAAACATTCAGTTCAGGGATGGCCAAAGAAGATTAATCCAGTAGAAACAAATTATAAATCTTAGTACAAATGTCTATAACCCTCGTCCAAGTTGTTTAATATATCTTTTCTAGAAGTAAAATAAATATTAATGGTATAAATATAGTATAAATAGTATTACTATGGCCATTAGCTTGATTGTAGGGTTTATGATTGTAGGTAGTAGGGTTTGAAATTGTAGGGTTATTACACGTGTGTGTTGTGTTTGGCAGAATTTCTATTGGGGCACCCGTAGGTTTCTGCCATGCCCCGGAGTGGGGGATGGCGGCACTTGTTCTTCGGACACCGTGACTTGCCCGGATAAAAATGCCGCCCAGTGGTCGAGAGAATCGAACCCGCGACCGCTAGCGCCGCAGACGACGTGTTCGACCGCTCGGCCACCCCGTCCCCCATGAACATTTTTATTATAATATTATAACTGTAATAATGTGTAATTTAGTATACATTTTTTTGAAAACCTTTGCAACGACATTACAAACATTTCAAAAAATAAAAATAGTAAAAAATAATGATATATTATATTATTTAAAACCATTGCTAACATAATTTTAAAGTAAAATTATTAATATGTCTTGTCCACGGAGTACGGACTAAGATATACAAAAAGTTTGCAAAATTAGTTCACACATAGGTAACAGTTATATCTTTGTTTCAAAATATATATTTTTTAATGTAAAATGCCTACCTATGTTGAAAAGAAATAAAGGTCATTTTCTTAACTTTTTAGGGCATTTTAGAGTTTTTGGAGCATTTTTTGAGTTTTTGGAAACCAAGTATGAATTTGAAATTTTATTTTAAGATTTTTACACCAACATGGTTTTTAAATAAATATAACAGATTATAAGTAGGTATTCGTAATTCGTATTATATTATCGGACAAGGTTTGAGTAACCTCTACCCGCATTTCCTGTTAAATAATCTTAAATCGGTAAACTTAAATCGGTCCGATGATATCGTTCGACGTTCAGTACGAGTTTTGTCGTCGTTAACACTGTTTCTAGTTAATTTTTTTACTAAAACTATGTATTGACAGCTTACACTTGTAATAGATTTTTGTAATGCATTTTTTTAAACTTTTTGTTGTAATTTATACTAAAATTATTAAAAAAAAAATGTTTAGATCATAAAAGCATTTTTTTTAGGGTATTTTTCGGGGTTTTTTAGGGCATTATTTAGAGTTTTTAGGTCATAAAAGCATTTTTTTAGGACATTTTTCGGGATTTTTTAGGGCATTAAGATCCCAGCCCTAATTATTATATATACGCGAGCCCTAAGGCCGTTTTCGTTTCACCACGCCAAGATTAATACGTAGGTACCTAGCTTATTTTTGCATATTATAATATTATACTATATACTCCAGAACCCACCTTAGGTTTGCTTGATGTATTTGAAACAATATAATATTATTAATCATTATATTTTATATACATTATACGCACCTCATATATTTTATTAATTTATTTACATTTTACAGTTTTACACCTATTTTAGTGTAGTTATTATACCCTAGATAAAGAAATGAAATATTTTGCAATTATATATCTTACCATAATTATTATTCTTGATTGGTACCTAATCTGTACTAATATATAAAATGGCAGCGTTTGTTTGTATGTTATGACGTATCTCCAAATTTTACGAAATTAGATTGTTGTTTATATTGGTAAATAAACACCGTACGGAAATATTTTATTTCAGATTTTATTTGCTTATACAACTGGTTAGACTGTAAATAACGAAACAGCTAATACCAAACATTCATCATAACACTGCGTATCTCATTAAAATCACATCGAAAATTTGAAAAATTTTGTTGGGAAAACTGAGATAGGTGCCGTTGCTGTATCAGAATTCAGAGACGAAATATTCTAAAGTTTTTGTCCCCACTTGACCCCCCCCCACAAATATGTGGCCTGGTAATGAATGGCCTGCAAACATTTTTACACAAAAAAAAAAAGTTGAAATGACGCCCCTGTTTTCCAACGCGTCATCGAAAACTGAACTTTCTGTGCAGGCGTGACAAAAAATAAATTACCTAGGTACGTACAATTCAATACTTATATAATTCATAGGCGTGTACAGGCTTAAATTTTAGATGCAGCATATAAAACTAAGCAGCCCATTTTTTTAACAATCGGCCAAAGGAATGTTGAACAGCCAAAATTATTGATTATATTATACACAGGCTGTGTTATTGTTACCCAAGTGGCTACAATAGTGTAATAATTTATTTTTTTTTTAATTGACAAATGTAAACATACTATTATAGTTATAATGACTTAGTCTGCAACGAAACACTGCAATCATTGTAATGATACTTCATTTCATGGAGATTGAAACGTAATTATAGCTCAACAAGGGGCAAAAGCATGAAAAAATTATCTTATTAGTATATTATAGAGCAATTCTCATTGCACATTGCTCACTCCCATTTCTTCATTTAATAATTAATTCATACAAATTTGAAATATTTCTAATTTTTAAACTTACTTAAAGACCATACTTAAAAAAAAAAGACAGTAAGTGGATGTCACTCTGCTGTACAGTAGGTTACAAGTGGGTTACTGTATAATGGATGGTATTAAATTTGAATTCAATGATATAACGATTCTGAGCGGTGACGGTTTGTCAGTGTGGATATTTTATATTATATTTATATTGCTATTACTTATTATTAATACGGTAGTCGGTAAGTTTAATTAACATTATAAACTTACAACAAAATAACTAAAATCGTTATTCTTGGTTTATTTGGTTATTCAATATGTAATTTCGTCTAAATTTGAACATAAAATAACAATAAAAAAACCTGTGTTTTATATTTTTGGGATTTTTTGGTTACCTGCTTACGTGGAACGTTATTTTAATTGTTCAATCTTCAGCTATAATAGTTGAACATTTTATAAATTGTTAACTACAAAATCATTTTAAAATTTAAAATTTGATAAACGTTGTTAAAATTTAAACTTAAATTCTTATAAAAAAAAATATGCATATTATGTATTTTTAATAATTTTTTAACTACTATTGTAATAATATATCAGGAGCCTCGTATTAATTTTTCACACTCTTTTTGACCCAACAAATAAAATTGTATAGTTTTATAGTATTGTTAGATACCTATATGTAAATTACTAAAATTCGTAAATCACCATGACCTACAAAGCTAGATAATTTACAGTATAAAAGGTTCAGTGCAAAAAATTTCGAAAAATTTAAATTATGGTCTTAAAGTATGAAAAACAATTCCAAAAAATGCTTGGTGAATCAGTGTGTATATATTACAAGCAAATAATATTTGTTTAATAACTAACTCTTATATAAAGACTAGATGTAGTTTTAGAACATTCGAATTCGACGCCCCTCAGAGTTTCTAAAAAATAAATTAATAAAGCACAAAGTATATAAATGATGGAGTAATAGTTTAATATTGATTAAATAATACTTAGAAAGATATAAGTTCGTCGATTACAATATAATATAATTTTACAAAAATTTATCAACTTCACTTTATATAAACATAATATAATGTTTATAATGTATAATTTATACGATGTATAAAATAATAATAATTGTGATACTATAGATAACATCGTAAAGAATATCAAATAACAGTATTATATGAGTTTTGTATTTTCACACAGTGGAGCAAATATTACCTATATAAATATGACGGTTGCCCGTTTCCCAAAAATTTGCTCAACTGTGTGAAAAAAATACAACGAAAATACAAATAACTTCTAATATTTCTAATATTACCAATCAAAAGGGTGGTTTTAAAAATAGTTTACAGAATAAATTTTGCAAACAGAACATTTTTGCAGAATAATAATAATATGTGTTATATACTGTTATAATATGCACGACGACGGCTCACTGCTCTGGCAGATATACCTCTTGTGTGAGAATATTGTGCAAAGTAAAATCGTGAAAAACAATATTAAATTTTTCACGGTGGTGATGATTGGATGAGTATATTATAATATACTATATAATATTTTTTTTTAAGAACAAAAATCATAATTGAAAATATATTATCATAATATTATTTTAATTGTAATTTCACGGCGGGCGTGCTGGCTAGCACCGTACGGAACTTACACGCACGTTGGTTCTTGAACACGGTAATGATTGCATCGAGTCCAATTCTTCATATCGCCCAATTTTGGGATGCAAATGTAACATTCAAAATCACAAATGCACGCCTTCCCCGGTTCCGTGCAGGTTTCCTTGCATAGATCTTCGGTATAGTGCTGTTTTACGCCATCATCGTTTTTATCACACGTATAACAAGAAAAATTGAGTCCCTCCCGGTATGTAGTTATGCACGGTCTTTTATCTACGATATGGCAACTCGACTCCTTACACATCTCGCACGTCGGGAACATGTAGTTATCAAACGTTTCGACGAGCGAGTACAAGTTTAATAAATTGAACATCATCGTGAAACCGAACACGGCCATGGTGGTGTACTGCAGAAACATATTGTGTTTTTGTTATTATACTAACCTAAATATGAGGGTACGATATCTGTTATTACGGAATCTGCTCCTTGGTGGATCGCTTGCAGTATTGACTCGAAGTCGATGCTCTGAATGAGTGTGTAAATATTATATATTATATATGATGTGTGTGTATTACCGCCGCGACAAGTATATAAAATATAGGTGCAGAGTGAACGATAAAGATATTATAATGATAATTATAATTCGTTTGTGCGTTAATAGCTGATTTACTGTCATTTCGATCGGTTAGCATATCGTTTTTATATCCCAACGGCTGCCTGTTACGCGATCGTGGAGTTGCGTAATTGGTCGGGTCTATAAATATGGTAGGGATATGTAATGGGAGGTCAAACGATCACGACAAACATACTAAGTATAATATTTGACTTCCATCGTATAGTGTGTGCAAAACTCCCGTATCCCATGATATCTCAGTGTCAGATCCACCAGGTGATATCTTACAGATATAGTTTTTTCAACAGAAATTTATTTGAAACGTATGACATAAAATTGCAAATTTCTTATAGATTATACCGATGATAAAACCACTTAAGGGGAATGCAGACGGACAGTTTTAAAGGAGTTCAAAATAGACAATTTTCAAATTGTATGTATGCGGGGCTTGCAAATGTGTGCGTAGTAAGTGACATTATTCATTAGTGTGTATGACTGTTTGTAAATAAAATTGCGGAGTGCTTCCGCACGAGCACGACAACGGGTGAACGGTAAACAATTTATGCTCATTTGTGTGTAATTTTTATTATTTTATAGGTATTTTTATTATTATGTATAATATCGTATTACATTTTCAAATCTTAAATAAAAATTTTAATGAATTTCTAAATCAAGACAATTTGCAATATTTCCGTAATTTTTAAGTATGTCAAAATTGGAACTTAAAATGCGTATAAAAGAATTGTGACTATGTATTTTACAATTTATGCTCATTTGTATGTAATTTTTGTCAATATTACCAATGGACCTAATAACCCGTCGGGTTAAACCCGATAAGACTTCTGAAAACTGATGTGAATTCGTTAATAAGTCTTCTTGAGATCGATCAGGTCACATCTTAAGATATTCAATTTAATTTTCGAATCATCTACATTTAAAATTTCGTACATTATAAATACCTATTCAAACAAAATGTACAGAAGGTTAAGAACAACATTTTAAAAAAGTGGACTGATCAATCTTAAGTTGGTATATTAACGAATTCAAATCAGTTTGCAGAAGTCTTATAGCGTTACCAAATCAATTGGTTTGATTGACAAAAGATTGGAAAATTTCGGTGTAAATAATTGTCCGTTTGCAATCCCCTTAACCAAAAAGAAAAGAGTCTGTATATAAATTTTCACAATAATCCATTAAACTATTATTGGGATAACAAGATTCACAAACCTAACATGAATCACAGGATATAGGAAAGGTAACCAATTGATTATACAATACATTTAGCTTATAACCAAAAGGTTATTATAACTAAACAATGGAGAATATTATGAAATAATTTATTATCTTATAAGTATATAGAGTAATTCACTAAACATGCTCATTGCTCACCCACCCCCACCCCTATATTCATTTAATAATTAATTCATTCAAATTAAAAACTTTTGGAATTTTTTAATTTACTTAAAGACTACATTTAAAAATTATTGAATTTTTATATTACTTAAAGAGTATTCTGTAGTGATACCCACAAACTTCAATATAGTAATATGTGCTTCAAATTATCGGGATATGAGCCCATTCATAGAATATGATGATGATCTAAGGTTGGCACAATAACTGTGATCAAAACTTGAAGTAGTTTTTGACAGCATATTTAAAATTTAAAATATCCTATGCTGACAAACCATCTCCACTCAGAATCATTTTTCGTATACAATATGATATTATATCATTGAATTTCACACTGTCCATTACAGTGACTCACTTGAAACCTAATGTATAGCAGAGTGACACCCATTTATCCGCTTTTTTGTTATTACTTTCTATACTTATCGCAATTTTTAAAATGCCATGAATTAATTTACTTAATTATTACAATAGGTAGGTACGTCAGTATTGAGTTAGGTATAAGTGAATTACAATAATATATGATAAAATAATATTAAAATTGTATAATATTATTTATACCATGTTTATATACCATGTTTTAAGCAAAATTAACTTAACCTACTGCATTGGGTAAATACTAAATAGTACTGATCTAATAATATACAGAGTGATTAACCAAATATTGTAACATAATATAATTTATAGTTGTACACACAGGTGCAATAAACAGTGATTTCGCTGCACCTGACTATATTTATTTTGAGTATTTATTTAGAAGGCTTGTATAATTATATAGTATGAATAATTTTGAAAATACGGAATCTATATATATATAAAACAAAGTTTAAAAAAAGGTTAGTTACACTATTTATAACTCAAGGAGAGTTAGAAGATTATTATTAAAAAGGTGCTCAGCTCAGACAGCTGTACAGTAGGTTACAAGTGGTTCACTGTATAATGGATGGTATTAAATTTGAATTCAATGATATAATATCATTGTATAAGAAAAACGATTTTGAGAGGAGACGGTATGTCAGTCTAGGTATAAGACATATTATATACTTATCTATCGTATTAAAAAAAATTGACCTATAATAAATTCCAAATTAATCATATCACAATATCCATTAGGTATTTATAACGCGTTGTACATCAACAACAAACCCTGATACTATCATAGATATATAATAGTGTACCTTAGAAGTTTCAAGTACCCACGAATAGTATTATACAATCACAAAAAAATAACTAAAATAGTTATTCTAGGTTTTTTTTATGTCATTTCATCCAAATTTGAACTTAAAATGACTATAAAAATAAACTGTCCTTCTGTATTTTTCAGATTTTTTGGTAATAGAATTAACTACTTATGTGGAATCTTGTTTTAAATTTTCAATCTTTAAATATAAAAGTTGAGCATTTTAAAAATTTTTAACTACAAAATAATTATTCAATTTTAAATTTGATAAATTTTGTGTTGCGTCAAATCATCAAATTTTCGTGGAGCTATGTGAAGAAACTTCAGTTTACAGCAAACATGAGAGTTGCACTGGCCCATTCAAAGTATCTAAGGTATCAAAGTATCTAAGGTTGACACAATAACTGTGATCAAGACTTGAAAGTATGATTTGATGTAAGTAAACCTTGAGGGTTTACTCTGCACGTCTTTTTTAGGTAATTGATTAAATCCTCAATCATATAAAAGTATATTGCATTTCGTAATAATTTGTTATGGTACTTGAAATATTCATTGTGTATTTCTAATAAATTATGAGGCATGAGCTGATATTTATGGACGCTACTTGCCTATCGACCTACTGAGGCGACCAGGCACATCTCTTTTAGGAATTTGATTTAATTCTCAATCACTTAACTCCCAATTCAAGAGGTTATAGCTAACACAATCATTTATAAGTATAGTACATTTCATAATATTTTTTTATGAAAGAAAATGATACAGGTACTGGTATTTGAAATATTCGTTTTGTATTTCTTATAGTTAAGGGCCAAGTTTGGTGGACGCCACTTGCACGACAGTCCCTCGACCTAGTTTGGCGACCAGACACGTCTCTTTTAGATAAATTATTAAATACGCAATCAAGTCTTCTGACATTTCAATATAATTTTGATTTCTATGAAGAAGGATCATCGTTTAAATTTCAAAACTTAGGTTATAATTTCATGTTAAGGTAAATAAACACAAACTTACGAAAAAAAAATTAAAAAATTAAAATGTTTATTCTTCATTATCGAAGGGACTGTCAAGACCCGTTGTTGCTAACCCTTTCCAAGTATTTAATGTTGAATGGGGAGAATGGGCTTGGATAAAAATTGAAAACTAGACTCGGCATTCTATGGGAAGGTCACGTTTAATAAAATTTTACTAGGAAAGGGATGGAAAGACATGTTTCTGAATATATTCATATAATCCGTTTGTATATGTAACTATATATTTTTTTAATTTTATTTTACAATTACAATTTCCAACGCCTGGCGCCAATTTTACAAAAATATGAAGTATTTATGAATAAATGTAAAAGTATAAATATATAAGAGTAACATGGTATGTATGTAATACATTATTTATAAGTAATAACTAATAATATATAAAAAAAAATTAAATCCAAACATGCGGCTCCCATTGCATTGCATTAATGTGCAGGGGCGGAGTGGGAACCAAATCCAGGCCAGGGAGTTTAAAATGTATCCAGGCCACCCACCAACATTTTTTTTCTCGCCAAGCTCGAATTTGATTTTTCTATTTACCTATTTGAAAACTACTTTTAGTATTATAAAAGTATTTCAATCTTGCTATTCTTTTTAACTTCTATCTTCTAACACATTATATTAATACACTATAAGTACTTATTACTGAAAGTCTGAAAAATAAAATTAGTAGGTATGGTTTAATAGTTGAAATCAACGAAATATTAATAATTATATTATACATTGTGTTTTAATTGTTTAGGTATAGTAGATATAAGGTAATAAGTAATAGATAAATACATACATTGTAAACAATATATAATAAAAAAGATTTATACATTCATAGTAATAATTTAGATAATAGATTAGATTTCTCACCAACTGCATTTATGATAATATTGTTATCTATTTCCATGATAATTTTATTTTCAATGGCCATAAGCATAAAAGACTCAAGATAATCATTGGTCATTGGATTTCTCAGCCTGTTTTTTAAATACTTCAATGTTTAAAATTGGTTTTTTATTATAAAAATAACCGACCTATATATCTGCAATATTATATTGCTTTGATTTTATTTGATGTCTATATTTATGTACATAGGCGTGACTAGACTTCATCGGCAGGGGCGGCCTAGCTAATGATCGGCGCTACCTTATTAGTGAACCGAAAAAAAGCCCTACACACCCAAAGCCGTATTTTTTTAAGCC